GGATACAGACAGCCAGATGAAGAGGTACATAGGGCAAAGAATGGAGAAAGGGGAGTGGAGATTCAATTCTTCATCCTCCCAGCAGCTCCACATGTTCAGCAGCCTGGAAGCTCTTCAAACCTTATAGTTCAGGGATTTTTATGGTGGCTTCATCACATAGGCATGATTGATTATTAACTCATGCAGTAATGGGTTAATAGTTTAATGAGGTATTGTGAGTGTGGACTGGTGGCTTTATAATGAGAGCAAATCAGCACTCTTGCCCAGCCCTCATTATGTGATAACCTGCATGGCCATGGGACTCTATAGAGAGTTCCCACCAAGAAGAAGGTCTTCACCAGATGTGCCCCCTGGATCTTGGACTTTCCAGCCTCCAAAACTGTGAGAAATAAATTTAATTTTCTTGTAAACCATCCAGTTTCAGGTATTCTGTTAAAAGCAACAGATAGGGCCGACTCCATGGCTCACTCGGGAGAGTGCAGCGCTGGGAGCACAGCGGCGCTTGCACCGCGGGTTCAGATCCTATATAGGGATGGCTGGTGCACTCACTGGCTGAGCACAGTGTAGGCAACACCAAGCCAAGGGTTGTGATCCCCTTACTGGTCACAAAAAAACAAACAAACAAACAAAAAACAGATAACTAAATAATAGAGGATCATAGGTCTAAATGGAAAATGTATAATCATAAAACATTTTGAAAAAAATAGAAAAATCTTTGTATCCTGGGCTTAAGAAAAAAGTTGTTATACATAATACCAAAAGCACAATCCATAAAAAAAAAAAATGGAGAAATTGGACTTCATCAAAATAAAACTTTTGCACTGCAAAATACCTTTTTAGGAGGACAAACTGGAAGAAAATATTTGCAAATCACATATCTGACAAAACTTGCAAACAGAATCTATAAACAATCTCTGAATACAACAATAAGAAAACAAGCAATCTCAAATACAAAAATCAATCAATATAATATACCACATTAACAGAATGAAGGGGAAAATATACATGATCATATCAACGGACACAGAGAAAGCACGTGACAAAATTCAATACCCTTTCATGATAAAAACACTCAACAAACTAGGAATGGAAGGAAACCACCTCACCATAATAGAGGCCATATATTAAAAACCCACAGCTAACATCATACTCAATGAGGAAAGACTGGAATCTTTTCCTCTAATATCAGGAGGAAGACAAGGATGCCCACTTTTGCCACTTGTATTCACAATAGTATTAGAAGTTCTAGCCAGAGAAAATAGGCAAGAAATAGAAATAAAAGGCATCCAAATTGGAAAGGAAGAAATAAAATTATCTTTTTTCTCAGATGACAAGATCTTATATGTAGAAAACCCTAAAGATTACACACACACACACACACACACACACACACCTGTTAAAACTAATAAACAAATTCAGCAAAATTGCAGGATACAAAATCAACATACAAAAAATCAGTTGAATTTCTATATATTGATAATGGAAATCCAAAAAGGAAATTAAAAATATTCAATTTACAACAGTGTCAAAAAAAATAAAATCCTTAGGAATTAACTTAACCAAAGAGGTGAAAAACTTGTATACTGAAAACTACAAGACATTGCTGAAAGAAATCAAAGAAGACGCAAATAAATTAAAATTCACCCCATGCTTATGGATTGGGGGAGGGCTTAATATTGTTAAGATATTAATACTATCCAAAGCAATCTACAACTTTAATGCAATCCCTATCAAAATCCCAATTACATTATCTTCAGGGGTAGTCAAATCCATCCTAAAATTGATATGGAATCTCAAGGGACCCTGAATTGCCAAAATAATCTTTAAAAAGAAAAACAATGTCCTGATTTCAAAACTTATTACAAAGCTACATTAATCAAAACAGTGTGGTACTGGCATAAAGATAGACATACAGACAAATGAAACAGAATAGAGAACTCAGAAATAAACCATTGCATATATAGTCGAATGATTGTTGACAAGGGTGCCAAGGCCATTTAATGGGGAAAAGACAGTCTTTTCAACAAATGGTGTTGGGAACACTGGATATCCACATACAAAAGAAAGAAGTTGGACCCTTACCTAATATCATATACAAAAATCAACTCAAATGGATCAAAGACCTAAACATAAGAACTAAAACTATAAAACTCTCAGAAAAAAACAAAAAACCTTCATGATGTTAGATTTGGCAATAATTTCTTACAAAAGCACAGGCAACAAATAAAAAATAGTTAAATTAGACTGCATCAAAATTTAAAGCTTTTAATTAACAAAAAGACGATCTACAAAGTGAAAAGGCAACCCAAGGAATGGGAGAAAATAATTGCAAATCATGTATCTGATAAGGGATTAATATCCATAATATATATAGACTCGGTGTTTCTGGCTTTTTGGGATCTCTGTGTAAATATGGCCCAAGAATATCGTCTTTTGTTTAGACCATGGTCCAGATTCTGGCTTCTCTCAATCACTGTTTCTTAATCTTGCTGTCTCTTTTTACATTGTAACTCTGATCCTGAAATCTTTCATTGCTAGGTGGTGGGGGAGTGGGGGAACTGACTCATATTTTCATTCTGAGAAGTACACAGGAATCTCTAGGGGCTGACATATCAAACTCAGTGATTTCTGGGGAGTGCTGGGTTTTACTCAGGCTTCCTGGCAGAGACTGAAGGAACAAGATGATGCTGGCAGGTGAAGGAGACTTGGAAGGTGCTGATTTCATACCTTGGAGACCATCTCTCCATTTTACAGATAAGACAAAGGCTGGGAGAGTAAAGACCATCTCTATGCAGCTGTCCCCACGTTTATCTCTCTAAACCTAGCCTCTAAGCTACGGACTCCTATATCCAACCTGGATATCACGGTCATTTAAACCCAGCCCATTCAAAATGGATTCTATTTCCCCAGATCCTCACACCCGCACCGCCTCAGGCTCCTCCCCTGACCCATCCCTCTAACAACAAAAAATCCAAAATCTTTTTCAACTCTTCCCCAGCCCTTACATCAATCCTATTGATTCCAAACCCTCATAGATCTCAAACCTCTGCCGTTTCCTCCATTCAGGAGCTGCCTCCTAGCCCAGCTCTCTTTCTGCCGCAGACTCCCCGGGGGTCTCCCTGCTTCTGCCTTCACCCAGCTCCCTTCACCTTCCATTCTCACTCAGCAACCAGACTGATTCCTACAGATCACCTACTGATTCTCCTATTGCAGGGGCTCCCAAGAACCTTTAGATTAAACTCAGACTCCTCATCACAGCCCACAAAGCCCTAAGTGGCAGCTAGCAGCTCTGGCCCACAGAAGGGAATGTTTGGAATGTATTGCGGGAAGGGGTGGGGTAGGCACTGAGTTGCCCACAGACCAACCTGACTTTCAAGGGCCAAATTGAGACTAATGAGCTTTCAGAGGCTGCCCCTACAGTGAGGTGTCTGGGACCTCCCCATAAGGCCTTCTTTAAATGCAGGTTGTTGTAACTTCTCCCCAGGCAAGACCCCAACTTCTGCTTTAGGAAGCAGTGGGAAAAAGCCATCCTTTAGAATCAGACAGTCCTAAATTCAAATCCTGGCTTATTTAACCAATCTCTGCTTCAGTTTACCCATCTGCAATGGAGACAATAATAACACTAATTACCTGAGAGGGTTCCTCTGAGAATTAAATGAGCTATAAAGCATTTATCACAATGCTTGGCGCACAGTAGGCGTTTAATGCATTAATGAAAGCTACTCTTTGCCTTCTAAGGAACCAACAGACAATGCTGTTCAGGGAAGAGTACTCTCACTCATAAAGAGCTAAGTTCTCCGTCACTACAGTGTGCGCAAGCGCCACTTTGGTGCCCAAAGGATTCCAGTACCCGCAGAAGGTTGGCCTAATTCTTGGGTCCCTCCAGCCTCAAGCAAGCATGCTCCTGAGTCTGACTTTTAGTCCTCGCGCTTCAAACAACTCCGGCCAGGGACGTGTGGCCGGCGTGCACCCCACGTGTCAGCTGCCGCTCGCTGTCAATAAAGTTGATTTGAGTTGGTCCCAGGCCGATGGGCAGCGCCACTCCGCACGCCACTCCGCACGCCACCTGGGCCCTGCCCTTGGGCCCCGCCCTCGGCTCTTCATCCACTAAGCGGATGGGCGGGGCACGCAGGCGTCACGCCCTGCCATTGGCCCGCTCCGGCGGGGGAGGCGGGGCCCGCTCGCGTCTATCGGCCCCGCTGTGTTGTCTTTTGGCTGCGGGTAGAGGACACGGTCAAGATGGCGCCGGTGCCTGGCCTGGTGCGGAGACCCCTTCAGCAGGTAGGTAGCGGCGCGCGGCCCGATGACCCTGCGTGAGCCCTGCCCACCGTGCGTCTCTCAGCGTTCTTCTCTCTCCCCAGGTCTCCGGGCTGCTGAAAAGGCGCTTTCACAGGACCGCGCCGGCGGCGCTGCAGGTAAGCGGCGCGGGCGCTAGTCAGGGCAGGGAGGGGGCCACTTGCCCGAGGCGTAAGTCGGCACCGCGGGGGGAGGCGGCGGCCGCTGGTCCTGGGGTCTGCGGACGCCCGCATCCTGCGTGGGACTCGTGCTTCCTCTGTCGCCGCCTGGTGCCGATCACACCGGCATGTCACCCCCTTGAGGCCGGTTGGGATCAGATGGGTAATCAAAGAAAACTAGACTTGACGCTTTCTCCCTCACCCTCTTTTTTTCTTTAAATTATGGTAAAATATACATAACTCATATAGCATACATTATACGAAGTTATACGACTGTGTTGTCTTTTGGCTGCGGGTAGAGGACACGGTCAAGATGGCGCCGGTGCCTGGCCTGGTGCGGAGACCCCTTCAGCAGGTAGGTAGCGGCGCGCGGCCCGATGACCCTGCGTGAGCCCTGCCCACTGTGCGTCTCTCTGAGCGTCCTTCTCTCTCCCCAGGTCTCCGGGCTGCTGAAAAGGCGCTTTCACAGGACCGCGCCGGCGGCGCTGCAGGTAACCGGCGCGGGCGCTAGTCAGGGCAGGGAGGGGGCCACTTGCCCGAGGCGTAAGTCGGCACCGCGGGGAGCGTGCGTCTCTCAGCGTTCTTCTCTCTCCCCAGGTCTCCGGGCTGCTGAAAAGGCGCTTTCACAGGACCGCGCCGGCGGCGCTGCAGGTAAGCGGCGCGGGCGCTAGTCAGGGCAGGGAGGGGGCCACTTGCCCGAGGCGTAAGTCGGCACCGCGGGGAGAGGCGGCGGCCGCTGGTCCTGGGGTCTGCGGACGCCCGCATCCTGCGTGGGACTCGTGCTTCCTCTGTCGCCGCCTGGTGCCGATCACACCGGCATGTCACCCCCTTGAGGCCGGTTGGGATCAGATGGGTAATCAAAGAAAACTAGGCTTGACGCTTTCTCCCTCACCCTCTTTTTTTCTTTAAATTATGGTAAAATATACATAACTCAGAATTTACTATTTTAAAATGTATTCTTCAGTGGCATTAAGTACATGCACCATGTTGTGCAACCAACACTACTATTCATTTTCAGAACTTTTTCATCATCCCAAACAGAAACTCTGTATCCATTACACAATAACTCCGCATTCCCCCTCCCTAGAGTCCCTGGTAACTTCTGTTGTACTTTTCTGTCTCTATGAGTTTGCCTATTCTCCACTTATTCACATAAGTGGAATCATTTGTCCTTTTGTGTCTGGCTTATTTCACTTAGCATAATGTCATCAGGTTTCATCGATGTTGTAGCATGTGTCAGGATTTGATTCCTTTGTGAAGCTGAATAATATTCCGTTGTATGTATATACCACATTTTGTTTATCCATCCAAAGATGGACATTTGGATTGTTTCTGTCTTTTGGCTACTGTGAATAATACCGCTATGAACGTTGGTGTGCAAGAATGTTTGAATCCCTGCTTCCAGTTCTTTTTAGTAAATACCTAGAAGTGCAATTGCTAGATCATATGGTAATTACCCCTCCCCCCTTTTTTAACTAGAGGATTCTAACCATTATGTATATTAAAATAACAACTCTTATGTCCTGAATGCAAAGTGTTTGACAGTGTCTGACACCTAGTGAGTGCTCAGTACTTAGCATTAGTTAGGCTTCCTTGATATTTCTCTGCCTCCATAGTACTACAAGTATGGTAATAAAACCCCATATATTTTATACTTAGGAAAATGTCTGTGAGCTAATCTGGCCAGCAAGCAGTTCTCTTAAGCTTGGGTGCACATCAAGGAAAATGTTCAGTAAGCTGATCATTAACACATCCTATCAAAGACCCACTATGTGTGATAGAAATGTTACTTTTAGAATTCTTTGAACTTTTAAGAAGAAACCTGTTCTAGTGTTAGTTTTTATATTGTATGCTGTGGGCAGCCTGTGTAAGTATAAAGTAAGAGAATTTCAATAATATCCTAAATAATCCTGTAGCTTATTGATTGTTTTCCCATATTTGTGACAGGTGACAGTTCGTGATGCTATAAATCAAGGTATGGATGAGGAGTTGGAAAGAGATGAGAAAGTATTTCTGCTTGGGGAAGAAGTTGCCCAGTATGATGGGGCATACAAGGTAATCAAAATATGTGAATGTTACACAAAATTGAAGCAGCCATTTGTCCCCAGATACTCTTCAAAGTAATGGGGTCAACTCTTAATTGTAGGTTAGTCGAGGCCTGTGGAAGAAATATGGAGACAAGAGGATCATAGACACTCCCATATCTGAGGTAGGCCTTCCAGCGGGAAGCAAACCTTTGAGGGGTGTGTCTGTTAGTGTTCCCTATCCTAATATTTATGAATTTTCACTTACATTTGCATTTTACTTTATAGATGGGCTTTGCTGGAATTGCTGTAGGTGCGGCTATGGTATGTAATACTCTTTATGAAGCTTATCCAAAGAGATTTCTTTTAACATGGCCTTTTAAAGACTTTGTTTGAAAGCTGGAAGAATGGAGTGGTTGTTTGCCACTCTTCATTGCTGTTTCTAGTCTTTTTAACATCTGTGTTTTTGATTTGACAGGCTGGGTTGCGGCCCATTTGTGAATTTATGACCTTCAATTTTTCTATGCAAGCCATTGACCAGGTTATAAACTCAGCTGCCAAGACCTACTACATGTCGGGGGGCCTTCAGCCTGTGCCCATAGTCTTCAGGGGACCCAATGGCGCCTCAGCAGGCGTAGCTGCCCAACACTCACAGTGCTTTGCTGCGTGGTATGGGCACTGTCCAGGCTTAAAGGTGGTCAGCCCCTGGAGTTCAGAGGATGCAAAAGGACTTATTAAATCAGCCATTCGGGACAACAATCCAGGTCAGCAGAGTGACCCTTGGGTCTTTTTTGAATATTAGAAAACTCAAACGAAATCTTTGGATAGAAGAAACCATTAAAAGTTTCTAGTTAGGCTTAGACATATTATATAAATTGTTAATGATTTAGAGATTTAGTAAAGATAGCAAAGAATGTAGTTTTTATTTCTGAGTATAAGGGGGCCAGTTAGTTATAGGAAACATTTTTTGCACACCCACAACACTGGTTTAACCTCAAATAGATAAAATTATGTTGACCAAACTACAAATGTGAGTACTTAAACCATCCTCAAGGCTACTGGACATGATAGAATCAAGGCTTCCTAATCAGCGCAGTGAAACTTTTCACAAGATGAATGATATTGTTGTATATATGTTTTTAGTCATTCTGGATGTAGTTACTTTTCTTTAAATATTTACAATATTTTGCAGTGGTGGTGCTAGAGAATGAATTGATGTATGGAGTTCCTTTTGAATTTCCTGCGGAAGCTCAGTCAAAAGATTTTCTGATTCCTATTGGAAAAGCCAAAATAGAAAGGCAAGGTGAGAGAACTTAGTATATATTTAAACATTATTTTTAATTCAGCTCTCCCTGTAATTAGCATTCCTTTACCTTGTGTTTTCTCTTCCTGGGCAGCCACACCTCTGTGCCAAGGTGGTAGTGCTTAGCAGGCTTTCCTTGCCTCTCTCTCACTTGAGCCTGCCTTCTCTCCTAGGCCCTGCATTCAATTTCCTGGATGCTCCTGCTGTTCGTGTCACTGGTGCTGATGTCCCTATGCCTTATGCTAAGATTCTAGAAGACAACTCTGTACCTCAGGTCAAAGACATCATATTTGCAATAAAGAAAACATTAAATGTCTAATTTGAACTTGAATATCAAGTCATTGAAATTTATTTAAAATACTTGCTGGCAGTTCACCTGGACTGTACTATAAAACCTTACTGTTCATAAATTTAGAGCAACAACTGGTGTTTTTGTACAAGGAAGAAGTTTAAATGTGTTCGTGTGTGGGAAACTTTCCACTCTCTGCTCTAGACTCCATGCTTTTTCTTGTCTGTTACAGTTGTCGTGTTCTCTGAATAAGGTTAATGTAAAATTTTACCTTGTCTAGAAGAACAAGGTATCAATGTGGCTTATGTGTACAAAATAAAAGTGTTTAATCTACATTTACTATTGATTGTTTTGATAAGGAATAAAGGAATTCCTAACTATTACTAATTGTATTTTTATATTCTTGAAATAATAAACGTGGGTGGAAATCTTGAAATTCTTTTAAGAAATTAGTGCCAAATAGAAAATAAGCTGATACAATAACAAAACCACTGCCTGTTTTTATTCAAATCTGAAACTTTATCCAAAATAGCAAAACTGACTTTAGAAGGACTCAGGCTTCACAACCTCCATCAGAAACTAATCACCTCAGCTGCATCACACTTGTAACAGGACCTTATCCACAACTCTTCAGATGCCTAACTCTATTAGGGCTCCCTTTAAAATGAAAGCAAATCCCATTGCCAAAAACACAGTCTGTCATACACTGCCTCTTCAGAAGTTGAGATGAAAAAAATGGATTTATAGAAGAGGACTTAACAACAAGATGGTGGAATAGCCAGTACACAGTGTCACCCTCCCACAATCAACCAATTTACAACTATTAAAAAAAAACAACTGCCAAGCTGGGGCCACTAGAGCTCAGGGGTTGAGGAGCAGAGACCTACAGAGTTCATGAAGGCAGGAGAAGCTATTTTGAGAGAAAGAACCACTCTGACCTATTCGATCCCTCACCACTTCAAGGCTGGCCCTGGTGAGCACATGGAACAAGATCTGGCAAAAGCCACTTCTATGACAGCAAGACCACTAACAAAGTTCCTGTGGGCCCACACAGTAGTGAGGGGCCACAGACAACAAAAAAGGAGCCACTCAGGCTGGTGAGTCATCACAAAGAACTAACACGTGGCCCATCCCATGGGAGGTATTTGGAGTATGGGTAGTGGGGGAGACGGACCCGGGGGGCGGGGGGGGACTCGGGCACAGCATGGACAGCTGATCTGCCCCCAAGTCAGCACAGGGTCACTCAGTGGAGACTGGTCAGGAATATCGAGCTGCAGGGGGTACAGTTTGCAGAAAAGACTCAGGCCCAGACCAGAGTTTCCACACAACCCAGGTATACTGGACTTCACAAGACCAGGGAGTGCCTACAAGGTCAACAATTAAAACCTGAACTGCACAAAACGTCTTCCCCAGAGAATCAGCAGCAAAGCAGCAATTTAGCTCAACCACAGGGCTCAAATGATGGTTCCCACAGAAAGTTCCCCCATTTTAAAGTAAGCAAAGGACAACAAATTAGTTCCAGTGCAGAGTTTAAGTGGTGGAGGTAGCTAACAAACACAGAACTGAAAGAAAACACAAAACACACACAGATCAGAGACAGAGTTTGATATTAACCAGTAAAGGTCTAACACCACCAAAGAACACCTATAAAACCCAGAAGGACTGGAAGCCCCCCAGGCTCCAAAGCAAAGGTGGGGGGAGGACTGAGGGCCTCAGCTGTGGGCCCCTGACACCCACATCCAGCCCAGCAATGACCAACAGGCTGCTGCTGGAAGCACCCCAAACTCCTGAGCTGGGGTGGTAGGGTGCTGAGGGCCTCAGCCATGACCCCTGATGTCTACATCCAGCCCAGCGACCACCAGGCTGCCGCTGGAAGTACCCCAGGCTCCTGAGCCAAGGTGGGGGCAACCAAGGACCTGAGCCATGCCCCCCACCACATCCGCATCCAGCCCAGCTACAACCACCAAGCCGCCCAGGGCTCCCCTGCCAGAATAAGGGGGGTGCCAAGGGCCTTGATGACGCACCCCTCTTTCCTCCTCACACTCTATCTCCCTCCCCTTTCCCCTCTACCCCTCCCTCCCAGCTGCTCCACATCTTAGAATGTAAAAATAATTATAATAAAATTTTTTAAAAACCCAGATGAAGGATATGAGAAGGAATTGTGTTAGAAATAAATAAATAAATTAGTTATAGAAGAATATAAGTGGTACCTAATTTAAATAGCAAGACATAAAATAATAAAATAAATAAATAAATAAATTAGTTATAGAAGAATATAAGTGGTACCTAATTTAAATAGCAAGACAGGATTGTTAGCTCTTATTAAGAGGCTAAATACAACACAAAAGAAAATAGAGTCAGGACAGGTAGGAAGTAAGCTTTAGATATGCTGTGTGACTCTATGTTTGCAAAAGGTGCTACAAAAAGTTCTCATTTGAAATATTTAGCCAAGCTACATACAACACATTTTCTTGACACGGTTTATTTTAATAAAAAATACAGCTGAACATTTATCACAGATTACATGAAACTATACACAATGACATTCTCTCTGCATAGTAACCAACACTGATGTGTGTACTTGAATTTTTAAATGGATTATTTATAATCCTTTAAAGTGCAATTTATTTAAAGATTTAAGCAAATCATAGGATAAAGGATCTAATAAATGAGTAACATTAAAAAGATGATGTATTTGGATAAATCTTCCAAAAATCAGAGTTGATTTCTATGGATTTCAAATTTACTTGTCATTACTTTAATAATGACACTTCCCACCCCCCCAAACCCAAACTTGACTTCATTGCATTCTGAGGACTAAGATCTTCTAATAGACAAGAGTTTTTTTTCTGATGTTAACATTTATTTTTGTCTGTTTCTCGTATATTCTAACTAAAAAAAACTGTGAGTCTAGAATAGTTGCTTTAGCAGCCCTGAGTTCTATAATCACAACGATATTCCTGTTAGAACTGAAGAGAACATTACGAACTTACCCCATTATATTTCAGGGGAAAATGAAGAACTCAGTTGCTTCTCTGACTGGGCTAGTGTTAATATCTGAGATGAAATAAAGGTAGCAAAACTGGGATTTATCTAAGAAACAACCAGAAACTTCCTTAGAGAAATGAACGAGAGGAACTTTCTAGGAGCTGTCTGACAGAGTTAAAGAGAGATTGCAACACAAAGGTATTCACTGCTGTGATTGAATATTGTCATTTTTTTCTGTTCATTTCCTTTAGTTGGTATAAATATTGATTCTAATATGACGCTGCCCCAAAAAGATGCCCATTAGTGGATGAACAAGACTCCTTTACAGGGGTAATAAAGGAGCAAAATATTTCTTAAGGCAGCAATGCCAGCCCAACTTTATTTAACTTGAAGAATATTTCCCTCTTGAAAAGCCTCTCACACGAGCATCTGTAAAATAGTATGTGGCTGTGCTGGCTCAGCAATTATTCATCCAGGAAGAGGGTACTTTAGAAGATACGGGTAGGAGAGAAAAACAAGAACTACTTTCCCTCCAAGTGTAAACAGGAAGCTTCAGCCGATCTTAGGAGCACTGTGATCATTGGTTTCGGCTTTCCTCAAAGTTCCTTTTTGGAAATTCTGGATGGAGCTTAGCAAGGCCCCTCGGCTCACACCATTCACAGCCTGGGGCAAGAGCTGTGAGGGCACCTCTGTGCGCACAGGAGGCAGGGGAGCTGCTGGTGGTGGAGGCGGAGGTGGAGGAGGAGGTGGAGGTAATGCAGATATCCCTGTGGAGGAAAGAGGGGGAAAAAGGAGCTAATCAGTATGCACCTTCCAACTGCCCTGTGCACAGGCTACTGCTCAGTCCTGGGCAGGTTGGACTTTGGTGAGACTGCAAATGTTTTCCTCAGAGGGACCAAGATACCCAGTACTGTAGAATTTTTTTAAATACTGAACAAAAAAGCTATAAGCATCAAAGGGGAATTAATTAAAGATTGCTGTTTCTCTCAAGTAACAGTCATGTGAGAAAAGACTGTTGGAACAAACATCACAGATTACATGAAACCATACACAGTGACATGCTCTGCATAGATGAAGCTCTGACCCCATTTCCAAATTTTAGTAATGGTCCCAAAAGAAGGGTTCCATCAGCTGCTTTAGTCAGGTCCTGGACTGCTCTACCTACTTCTGAGTTAGCAATTAAAGATAGACATCTGTGTGCACAGAGTTGGGCTACCTGAATGTCAATTACTCTTAAAGATGACCAGTTCTGCTCCAACACATAATATTTGAAGGATGTGATTTAATATAAAATGACAAACCACTCAGTATTCTCGGCAAGGAACCAGTCAGTGCTCATTGGGCTAAGAATTCCCCAAATAATCATTTCCTATTAGATTGCCTGTCTCAAATAATCATTTCCTATTAGATTGCATTAAAGAAATACAAAATGCTAACAATCGTTAGCAATGCAAAGCAAGGGGCAGAGGAGTCTTTCCCTGGCAATGACACCATCAGGGAGGAGTCTTTCTCAAATTCTGTTCTCCCCACTGTGGCCCAACCAAGGAACAGAATGGAGTTGTACCAAACACACATCTCTGCTGAAGCATCAGGAGAGACTGGAATGTCGAGCTCTACCCTAGTGCATAAGGAGAGGGAAACTGGACAGGTATCTAAAACTTTCCTCAACCTCCAAGCACACAGACATTTGCAACTTGAATTTTATATTTTTGAATCAATGAATGAATTGTTCTTTCAAGACAAAATAAATACTGAGCACAGAAAAAGGAGAGGAAGTTGCCCCATCTCCTGTGAATCTTTCAGCTCTCTGAGATTCCACCTGTCTGTTGCTGTCTCTACCCTCTACTGCCTCCTAGGGCTACAGCAGGGAGACATTCTGGTGGGTGGTTTCCCCCAAACTGAGCTGTGGTGATAACAGCTAAATACACCTTCTGCCACTTGAGTTTGTACGGGTGAGTGGTTCAGCTCACCCATAAAATACTCAGGTAAGTATATCCTTTTCACGAAGTGTGACAGGCAATGAGTAAGGTCTTGTAATTCACAGAAAACCACTTACCTTCCTTTACATCTTTTACCCAAACCTAAGGTAGCTGAAATTAAAGAATTACACAAATATACACACTCATGCTCTGCAATCTTGGAATCGTCAAATAATGATAATAAGCAATACAAATAGAGATTAAATACAGACAAATGAACAAAATGTAATTTTCATTGGTTCTACACAATAACCAATGAGCGAAGTTCTACTATGTTCTATGCTAGGGTAGATTGTTGGAAAGTGTTTCTGGTTTTATGTCACAGGGTTATAAAGATAAAAAGGACTTTAAATCTGAAGTGACTGTTGAGGTAAGAAAACCAGGGAGAATGGGCATCTCATATAAACATTCCTCTAAAGAGGACTTTTGGATAGTGACTAGTGAAATACCAGGAGGAGTGAAGACCTCTGCTGAAGACTCTTGGAACTCAGAGTCTCTTAACTGCAGCACTAAGCGGGCCCAGAGCAGTGAGCTCTGCCCGCCTGGGGATGAGTGTGATAATGCCCCTTCCCCAGGCACTCCCACCCAGTGTCCAGAAAAGGGCAGCGGAATCTGGGTTTGGCATTCAGGGCCCAATGTGTACCAGAAGGAGATCCAGGGTTTCTGCCTGCCAGCTTTGTGTTTTGACCCCTGGCAGAAGAATCACTGCAGAGTTAAAGACAAGAAGACAGGCTCTGTGCTATAGCAGCTCTTCAGGGTTCTAGTAAAGGCACAGAACTGTCCACACAGAGACAGGCTATCTCTCCAGCCCAGGATTCTGGAAGGCTAGAGACAGGCCTCGGGGGTTGGGCTCAGGGGAATGGCACAGAACAATACTGTTTAGCCCCATGGGAACTACCCCTTGACTTTGGCCTCATTAGCAGGTACTTGAAATTAAAAGTGCAAATGCACCACCAGAGTTTGGGAGTTGGAGGTGGTGTTCAGTAAATGGATCTTCATTTTTTCGAGTAAAGGCTGAAACTGCTGCCACTTTAGATGATCTCTTTGGAAACGTAGGTCGAATAAATAAATACACCGTCCAAAGTACTACAGGGTAACCTGTGCCTGTAAAGCAAATGGATGCTGAGGGCTGTGCACCAAAGGAGAGGCTGCTCACCAAAGGGGTAAAGAGCAAGATCACCTTGATGTCTGCTCACAGAGGGCTGGACCAGTTCCAAACCCAACTTGCCAGCTCAGAACACTCTGGAAGGGGAGGAGGTCCAGGAGCCAGGTCAAAACTGGAGGAGGCAGGAACACAGAAGTGGGACTCACAGTATCTGACTACAAGTCTCATGGATTGTCTTTTTCTTTTTTGCCTTTTCCATGCTCCACAAGCTTCCTTTAAAGGTCTGTTGGGGCTTAAGCTACAACACACTGGTAACCGGGGAGGGGCAGGAGGGACTGGGGCAGGAAGACAAGGGACAAATGGAAGTTGGCAATGTAACCTGTGACAAACCTGGGAACAACTGCTTAGTGCCTGAGCTCCCTCCACTCCTAAAATGTGAAGGAGCTCCTCCCGCCGAGAGGCCTCCAATAGCCTTTATCCCCAGGCCACAGACAGGGGTGGACAGATTTGATGTTAGACTGATGGCTAACTGAATTCCAGGATGGGGGATGCTCCAAAACAGCTTATCTAATTATAACCAGGTCAGTCCTGATCTCTTCCATCTCACCCTCTCTTAGACAAAAAACCGTGACAGCCAACTATTCCACCTCCCCAGAATCTCCTCCACCAATCCAAATGAGAACGTGGCAATTCAGCAGGGGCCCTGAAAGAGGGCACAGACTGCTCCGGCAAGGGCATAGATTCCATCTAAGGAGCCCTCTCTTAGACAAAAAACCCTGACAGCCAACTATTCCACCTCCCCAGAATCTCCTCCACCAATCCAAATGAGAACGTGGCAATCCAGCAGGGGCCCTGAAAGAGGGCACAGACTGCTCCGGCAAGGGCATAGATTCCATCTAAGGAGGAACGTCATGCCAGAAACATCTTTGAAGGCCTTGTGGAAAGGATGGCTGAGGGTCCCCTTTCCTCAGGCCAATTTTAGCAGTGGGTAATCTACAGGTTTCTATAGCTCTGAATGCTTTTGTGGTCCACACATATAGGTGAGGAGGCCAAGTGGCCACCAGACCACACTAGAGCACAACCAGACCTACCAGCTAGCTTCAGGGGGGAATGAAGAGCCATGACCCTTGGAAGCAGGCAGCCCCCAGCTTTTGGGAACCACCTTCGCCTTTTGCCTTAGGCAGATGAGGAGACTGTACGCATGTTACAACTCAAGAATTATTAAGGATGCTTAAAAGAACTGTTTCTCCCCATCATCAGTTATAAAAGCCTGTAACCAAGAACTCTAATGCTTAACACCCTTTTCCCTTCATGGGAGTAACTAGGAACCAACAGGACTTTGAGAGTCATGGATTCTAAAATTAAAATATACCAAAATGCCATGCAGTTGATTTGTAGGTTTTGGAGCTGTACTTTAAAACTAAAATCAAAGTGAAAATGAAGATTTTGAAGGTCATGATGAAAATGAAATGAACATAGATGAAGTCTCTTGGGCACTTTTTAAAGATGCTGTATTTCAATTAAATGTTCAGATAAGAAAATAGCCTCAAATCTGCTTTCCCACTTGCACATCACTTTAATGACCTAGCCACATTGGGTCCTATTTCACATACAGAAACAGAGCATCTTTAAAGTTAGAGAAATCAGCATAGCTTACTTTACCGAAAATTCACGTTCAAAATGGTGCATGCTCTACTGAAAACAGCAAAGAGAAAGAAAGAGAGAAAGGGGACACATGTCATTATTCAGATTTTAGTGTCATTTTATCAAATAGTAACAGACAATAAAATATTAGTCTGAATCATATGCTGATTATTCTCACTGCAAAGCTAGGATATAACTTCAATTAACCACAAAATAACTGCAGTGATGACCCTTTTAGGACACAGCACACATACTAATCACCAAGTCACTTTCCTCTTCACATTCTTTTTCTTCTGAGACAATCAGGTGATATTCTTATTTATTTACAAGCACAGCCCTCACTTCAGAAGAGCCATGAAGATTTTATCTCCTCTGAAGAGCAGAATGGATGTGAGAAGTGTACTTAGTTCTATTACTCAACAAGGACAATTTATCAAGAGGGAAGAAAAAGGAAAACTCACCACTTTTTCCCAAGCAAGTCTTCTATAGTCTAAAACAGAGACTTGTCTCTTTAAAGTTGGGAAGAGCAAGAACTATGGGGTAGGTCTAAGACTGAGCTTCTGCCTCCCGGGAGGGCCCTGTGGTATAGGGGCTGAATTGGGCAGTGAAGCTTACCTAAGGCTATAAAACCATTTAAAAAGAAAGCAGCAAGGCAAATGTTTCTCTCATCTCCTTTTAAAATGACTAGATTCCAGGTTAAATGTGAAGGATCATGCCTTCCCAGAAAGCGAATCCCAGAGTTCCTAATGAACCCACTGCCTGGAGGAAAATCCTTTCCCCCTCTTCAGGCTGGGAAAGAAGACCCCATGTAGGGTGGGGCAGGGCAGGCTGACTACTCACATCCAGGACAGCTCTGGAAGAAACAAAGGATGCTGAGAATACTCCTCCTCCCTTCCCCCATACCCTGCACCAGGGGAGGAATCTGGGAAGAGCTCCCATACTTGGGACTTGGGCTTGGGAGTGGGGGAGGAGGGCTGAGAGTGGGCAGGTGGCGGCAGAGGCAGCAGACAGGAGAGCAGAGCCAGCACAGTCTTCAGAGATGCACTGCAGAGCAGTCCTGTTCATCCAGAGATGGCCACTGCTTTGTGTATGTGCAGCTTACAACAAGAGAGGCAATTCTGAATGGCCAGAGACATGGATTTGAGCCTAGAATGGGGTTCAGAATTTAACTTGGCTAGGCAAATCTGGAAGCTTCAACATTCTAAATAAATTCATCTCTTTTTTTGTGTGTGTGTGCCTTACTAAGTCTTTATTATTATTATTATTAATTCTTATCCCTCCTTAAGCTCTCACTCACGCTCTGTGCCATAAGGCTTTTTCTTCCTCCTCTAGCTCTCCAGATTCAAAACTCCCTTTCTCTCCACTCATTCTTATAGAATGGGTTTTCTACAAACTGCTAGCTTTCTCTCCTCAAAACTATTGCTTAAAGTATAAACAGCAAGCAAGCAAGAAGGGCTAGAATTCTGATTGCAGGACATTCATAGCTTATATTACTTGTCATGTACACTACCTACCTAATAAAGAGCAGGAATTGTTTTAAAAGACAGCTTCAAAGAATGGAAGATACTTGACCGAGGTCACAGTGGGAAAGTGGTAGAGCTAGCACTGAAGCCCAGGTTTTCTGATTCTTTACTCAGGGTTCTTTTCACTCCAGCCAAGCACAGTGTTTAACAGCATGGCCCTGCAGTGCACCTTGAGGAAGGCAGGCACTCAATAAATAAATAAATCTGTGGGGTAAATGAACAAAGAGAACCAAGTTCAAATCCTGGCTCTAGGTCCCCACTACTTGTATGACCTTGGCCAAAGTCTCTTAACTCTATTGGAGCCTCAGTATCTTTGTCTATACAACGAAGCTATACGAGAATCCACTCTCATTGAATAGAAAGGTATTCATGAGGATAAATGAAACAATGACTATCAATCACTCAAGACAGTGCCTGGCACAAAATAAGAGCTCAAAATATGTTAGATATGACTATTAAAAACAACAACAATGCTTATTTAGCTTTCCTAAAATATTCTTTAGCAAACCCATTTTTTTAAAAAAGATAGCAAGGCAACAGGCCTATTTACTTCCAAAGGAAGGTAGAAGGAAATATTTGTGTGTGTGTAAAACGGGACCTTTAACGCCACTCAGACAGATCTATGAATACAGAGTATAAATATTAGTTAGTGACATTTTTACCATGAAATAAGTCAGGATAAAGAATTTTACAGTTCTTGAAAGGGTGGCCTTCCTGAGGCAAGAAACAACCTTTAGCAGAAATAAAGTGCTAGATATGTTCTCACTGAAAAAAATAGGTGTCACAGCAAGAATATTAGAGAATCCCACCCCACACTGGTTGGACTTGACAGCAGACTTAGAGAAATGATATTTCTCCTGTCAATTTGGTAAGGACCTCAGAAGAGGCCTGAAGGGAGTTGCAGGAAGAAAAGGGAGAGGCACCAGCCCTCACACAATTGCTGGAAAGGGCTCGTAAGGGTAAGACCCCTTCACTTAGAAACTCTGTCACTTCTGCCTCATCCTAAAAGTAACTGAGATTAGACCACCTTTAGCTACCATAAATCTGCTTAAAACAGATGCTTTCAGAAAAAGTGCACTGCTGCTAAATTCAACTTGCCGGAGCTGAGCAACCGCCCAAAGGCAATGGATTTAGATTATGCTTGATTAGAAGGAACTGTGAGATGGTCTCTTCTAACTTTTGCCTTTTGCCCTTTTCAGAGGTAACCAAAACCCAGATGTGGAAAGACTTTTCATTCAAAGTTTTGGTAACTAAGAGTGTACCGAGGGCTTACTAAGTTCCAGGCATTGTTCTAAGCCTCTTAAACGTGGAACTCACTGAACCCTCATGATAACACGACAAGGCAGGCACTGTTATTTTCCTCAATTACAAACACACACCTAAAGTACAAGGGAGTTAAGTGCCTTGTCCAAGGTCCCAGAACCAGCAAGTAGCAGCCCTTAAGCTTAGGTTCCCTGACCCATGTGCAGTTCTCAAGAGTTCCCAAACTGAGCTGTGTTTGAGATGCTATCTTTTGCATAAACTCTTTTTAAATATTATAAAGCTGGAAGACACTATCCTTGACTTGTTCCCTGACAGCATGCTTTTTTTAAAACCTGGCCTAGAAGTGAAGATGTAAACTGGAGTAAATACGATTCCAGCATCAAGACAGGCAGCCTAGAATGGGGTTCAGGGTTTAAAAGAATGAGAAAGATAAGCACAACGAGAAGCTTGGCCTGCTGGCCTGCTGGCCTGCTGCCCTGCAGTGAGGAACAGTCTAAGCCAGAAGTTGCCAGCCCTAGGCTGAGAGTCCTATCCTCATGCAGTAGAGGCCCTGAAGGCAGAGCAAGCCTACGCAAATCAAGAATTTACCAAGCATCTATACAGGTAAGTTGTCATGTGGCTACTAACTGTTTGATCTCCCTGATGCCTTGCACAGAACCAGTTTTTCAGGTGCAGATTCTTTACTTAAGGGGAACTATTGGGAGAAAAAATTACCATGCTCAGACCCTGAGGATAGCATTTGTCTGAATTGTGTCTATCATTTTGGAGCCTCTGAGAGGAACGCCAAATGTGATTCCACTTAGAGGCTTATCTGTCCATCTCTGTAACCCAGGGCCAAGCACAGACCCTGGCAAACCACAGGCTCTCAGTAAATGCATCTTGAATACATCTTGAATGAATAAATACCCTGTGGGTGCCTGTTTAGGGCCTGAAATGCTAGGTTGCCAGGCAAATACTAAATGTTATTTTTTGTGAGATGCACTACAAGAAATGCCCAGCAGAGGTCAGAGTGCAGTCTTTGGGGCTGAGTCAATAATTTAGTCAACAAAACATTAAAGGAGATAAAGGAAAGAAGCAGCCAACACTTGCTGGGAACCACTCGTCTCTGCCAGGCATTGTGCCTGGGCCTTCACATATGTTTTTCCTTTAAATCCTCACGACTCCCCTTCAAGGTAGTATAAAATTCACAGGAATGTCCCCTATCTACTACTCCCACTCACCTCAGAGGAAGTTTTTCCAACACTGACTCTAATTACAAAAGATTCCTCTTTTTCTTCACTCATTTTAAGTTACCTCATCTCATGCAAACTTGCTACTATATGAGACAGCTCCCATTTAAAGCAAAGGTAAATTGGAGAATTCCTCCTAAAAGTCTGAATAGACTGTAAATTCTCCAAGGCATTTAATGGTGTGAACTGGCAGTTAACCACCCAGGACCACATCTGATGTATACAGTGAGGTCCTCTGTACACTGAACACATACCTCACTTGTTAAAGGAGGGCTTATAGATGCTCACAATTCATTTTCTCCAACTTCCTTAATATGTCCAAGTGGTGTAAAATTAGTATCCTCTCTTTTAGAAAATGATTCAACATAATCTGGACAGTGGATCCCCAGAAATTTCTGATGAGCCTAAAGAGGTCACCTCTACAAAAGATGGAGAAGTCTATTTTCTGTGTTGATCAATATTTGGGGGCTTTCTTGTAAAATCTGCTGACAAAGTCAGACAGGAACAAGAATATCATCCCCATTGGTAGTTGCTACTTAAAACAGGCCCTGGCCCCAGAAATTCTGCAATAAGCCACAAGTAACCACCCTCAGCCAGCAAGGAGAGACACCAACCAACCAGAAGTAAGTTGTTCAAATTAGTACCCTTGCATTTTCTTGTTGTCTTTTTCTTAGGCGGGTTAGTTAGATGCGTTTGAGAGCAGTTGGGTAATGCTCTTGGTAGCTCCTGGGTGCCACATTAAGCATGAATGAATATGGTATCATCAACTCATATAACAACCCCCACCAATGATGCCCTTCAAACAGCTGTGGGAACCCTTCCAAGCATAGCCAACAAGCTCTGAGTGACAGAACCAGCTCCTTAGACATCTAGAACATCTGGTTCACTCAAGAAGCAAAAGGAGATACTGTTGCTCAAATGTGTTTTTACTGGGCTTGCAAAATGGTTAGCAGAGATCTTACTTCAAAAAGGAAAGAAAGAAAGTACTATGAAGCTACTCCACAGAATTGGCAATTATTTCTATAAGAAGTCCCCAAGATAAATTCTTTTCACATTTTTCAAACAAAACTCACAGTATCTAATTCACAAAGGCAAAACAAAGGCTAACCACAGAATATATTCAGATAATGAAATCATTACAAAGCAAAATAGAGTGCAAATAGCTGTCAGGAAATCAGAAACTCAATGGTTATTTCACTCCTGCACCTAGACATCTTACCAGTTTTGCTCTGCGACAAAACTAATATTATGGATGGGCTCCCTGAGGAGAGAGCTCTGGCAGGATAGGGCTGCTGGGCAGCTGCTTTTGTTTTTCTCAGCTGAGCATGTACCAAGACAACTCTGATCTGAAGAGTCCTACATGAGGCTTGTCAGCAAAGAAAGCAAGCTGGAGCCAGAGGGTGGTTAGTTGCCCCCAAACCAGTCCATTCCCTGCAAAATCTGAGCTTTGACATCTACATCCTCAGCACTCTCAAACGACACTGCTAATTTTCACTCTCACTGGTCTCTCTTGAGAAGGCTGGTGCTGTCTAACCCCTGAAATTCTTGGGCCGAGGCAGGAAGAGAAAAAGCCTTGCTGCTCCTTCTCTTGGTGGAGAAGAGGAAGGCATGTCACTACCCCATTACTAACCTGCTGTAGAAGGTGGGGTTGGCGATGACGGGGACGTGAGAGGTGAGCTGGCCCCAGATCCTGCTAAGATAAAACACAGAGAAACCCCCATGGGGACCAAAGAAAAACATTTGGATTTTGGCCTGAGCTGGTACCCACCACTGTCTAAGAATTTGCACTTGGTTGAGGGTGTGGGCCTTATGGAATAACATGATGAGGGACAGAAAATTCAGAGACTAGACTCAATGACGACAGGCTTTTACCCCAATGCTGGGACAACTTCTTTCCCCAGGCCTGTTGCTTCCCATTACTCCTACAGCCTGCCTGGTTTGACATAATTTTTTTTTTTGGCAGCTGGCTGGTATGGGGATCCAAACCCTTGACCTTAGTGTTATAACACTGTGCCCTAACCAACTGAGCTAACTGACCAGCCCTTAGCCTGCTTTGTGCAATCAACGACTTATGCAATTGGCTGCAATATCTCTTCCTGACCCAACCCCCATCCCTGGGTAGTGATAAATGGCAGTGGCTACAAACAGTACAGGGGACAGAGAGGTGCACAGCACCTGGTGGGGGCCTCTCCAAGGGAAGTGAGAGCTCCCCACAGCATCCGCTCAGCAATGCTTTCTGTAGAAGTTCCATTTTATCAGCAGGTACATTCAATTAGATAGGGTTAGCCTATTCAGTGTGTGAATTTTCCAGTCCTTTTCTTATCTGAAATTCAGTAAACATCCTTATTTACATTAAAACAATGTGAAAATCCCATATGTTGCATGCTTTTTCTGGGCCTACTAACCTTGTTATATTTCAAAAATTCCCAAGTTCTTAGCATCTCTCCATTACTTGGAAATCCCTAGTAAATATCCCCCTAGCCTGACACAGAAGTAGCCCAATGAGCAGATGGAGGTTCCTACATAAGCCTCTTCTGTGGAGATATAAAGCCCCCTCACACACATGGAAGTCCTGTGGAGAGGTTAACCAAAGCTCTCTAACCTGGAGCTTCCTGAGCTAACAGGCGCACACACCCAAAGGGAAGGCTGTCATCACACACTCCTGAGAAGCCACCACTAATCGTCTGGTAAGCCTCCAGCTGTCACTTCACTCACTACCCACAGGACGTGTTTGTGTCTCATGGACAGTGGGCACCATGAGAAATGTTCTAATTAAACCACATCTCCTTCCAGTTTAATACCTTTCCATTCTCTGGAATATTCCCTCAGGTCCCTGTAAAATATGAGAAGTGTTTTACTGAAAAAGGAGGTAAAACTTAGCACATGCTGTTTTCATACTGTTTGTAGTGCTAACGTATTTTAATGGGGAGAAGACTGAACTTGTGATTCCAATAGGGTCTGGGAATGATCTGTACATTTCCATCAACAACTACTACTTCACTTTCCTAAACTCCTTGATGGCACGAGGGTGTCTTGGAGTCCTTGCAGTCCCATCCGGCTGCCTGTGGCATAGAGCTTTGCAGGCAGGCAGGGTCTCAGGAAGGTGGAGAGCACAGAGTCAGGCTTCCTCTAATTTATAAAGAATCAGCTGCTGGACAGAATGACTGCCAGTCAGACATTCTGGCTGGAGACATGACTCAGCCTAAGGATGACAATGACTGGTGCACATCCATCACATCAACCATGGAGAAAACAGACTTCCAACTCTGAAATTACCTGCCATCTGCAACAGCATCCACCCCCAAGGAGCCTGCCATGGCCCTCACTGGGACCACCAGGGCCTGGGCCTCCCCTCCTCCTTCTCCCTTGCAGCTCTCCCTGAGCCCCATTCTGTTCTGGACCCTGCAGTGGTGTCAACATGATTCTCTCCCTCCTTCTGGAGGCTTCTCAGTTGCAAGTCTTCGAGTTTCCACTCCACCCACACCACCGGCCATTCTCCAGCTGCAGCTGGTCCAGCCCTCACGGCTGCAGCTGAGCCATCTTGTGCACTCCTCAGCTTCTCCTCCCGCCCTAGGCAGACATCCTCCTCACTGACTTCACCGAGGAGACTGAGGCCTGACTTGTGAACACCCTCGATTTTTCCCCTTCTTTCCACTTTTCAATGTCTCTACCCCTTCACCTGCCGCTCCTCCCTCCTGTCTCCAGGAAGAGATGGATGGGCTTCCTCCAGAGCTGAGAATGACAGCTGGGCCCCTGGGCCTTCCAGCCCCCCAATTGCTCCCCTTTTTGCATCTGCAGCGATTCCTGTCTGCTAGGTCCTTCTCATGCCTAAAAGTACAATCAGCTATCCTTCATCCCTCAAAAATCTCCCCTGCCCAAGGCCCTCCAGGGCAGAGCCAAAGCTACCTGGGTTAGGGTGAAACTCTCTCTTCTATATGTGGAACTGTGAATCTACTTCACGGATTCAAAAACTAAAAGAACTGGAAGGCTGCACAGATCACTCAGTCTGGCCTTGATTTCCAAAGATGGGGACGTTAAGGCCCAAAGCTAGAGGGACTAGGAGAGAGGCAGCAGGGAATGGCAGCAAGGACTGCCAACTAAGGACAGTGTTCTTTGTACTGTCTCGGCCTTTCTGGAATGATGCTTCTTGCCATCCTCACACACCCTGAAGTCCTTTCTTTAATCCTCACAGGAGGGTACATCCTCCCACCATGGGGTTCAGAGCAGAGGGCAGGATTTAGGGTCGTTTTTGTTCATGTAGTTCTACTGAAAAACAGGGGGCCTTGAATTTTAAGTCAGGTCTGTTTTTCTTACATGGATAATGCTTCTGGTGTTTTAGGTTGATTGAGTCTTGGCATCAGTGAAGAGGCTGAGCTACCCAATAACCTCTGAGGTCCCTTTCAGCACTTGAGTCCTGTGAGCCTATAAGTACTGTCGCAATCCTTCATTAGGGACAGAGTTCTTTTGTTTTCTGCATTCATTACTACACTGCCCAGTCTCTGGACCTCTTAACTGACTACAGACTCCTGATCCTGACCTCTGCGTCTCGGGTCCCACTACAGTCTATAACCAGTTACCTGAATTATTGGAGTTGCTGTACTTTGCTGAATGCTCTTCACTATTTTCAATAGCAGATCGCTTTGACTTCTTTAAGAATAAAAGAAGGGTGGAGAGGGGAAACAAAGAAAAATCACACTGAAGCTGGGAGTTAGAATAAAAATATTTTCCAGGCACACAGTTAAACTAGCTACAGACAAGGTCATAGTTGGCCTTGTAACTTAATATAGTGAAGAAGCCACAAGCCAAAACTAAAGGGGGAAATAAAACCAAGAATGCTGACTTTACTATCTCAAGCCAATCATTTCCTCCAATTACATTATGCCATAATCAGCCCAGCAAGCCAGGAAACTGTATGGTCCATTTCTCTGCTGATATTATGTGGCTCTTTTAAAAGCTGCAAACCAGTCATCTGGAAATAGTTTTAGCTTTCAAGGAGATATAGCACAAGACCCGTCATTAAGTATGCACCATTAACCTAGAACTTTCTTTACATGTAGTCAAGAATCCAGAGAGAATTCAGAGAGACACCAGGCTTACCTTTCGAGCTAAAATCTTTCTCTTTTTTCTCTCTTCCTCAGATCCGTGGTGTGACTGAGCTCTTGTCAGTCTTCGATGCTGGTGAATCTTTAAGAGACCACAATCCACCACAAATGCAAGCATATCATACATAAGGAGGTTTCCTAACAAAATCTTCCCCAACATGTTTTGCCAAATCAAATCATTTGTGTAAAAAAATCTTTCCTTGTTCAGCTTATCTATATCCCAACTTGGGTCTGGATGTCAGGGAAGAGTATGCCAGAGGATGAAGGACTTTCTCACTTCCCCCAGTTCCTTCCTGCCTTTCTGAAAATCTTCCCCAACATGTTTTGCCAAATCAAATCATTTGTATAAAAAAATCTTTCCTTGTTCAGCTTATCTATATCCCAACTTGGGTCTGGATGTCAGGGGAAGAGTATGCCAGAGGATGAAGGACTTTCTCACTTCCCCCAGTTCCTTCCTGCCTTTCTCTCTTTTACAGAAGAGGAGTGTGGTGTCTGAGATCTTTAGAGCATGGCGTACATGCCCCCAATCACCACCACTCAGCATGCCTTTATCATAAAGGATGACCACCCTTTGTGGACATGTTTGTTTCCCCCATAGACTGAGCTCCTTGACGGCAGCACTGTGAAGTATTCGGCTCTGTGTTGCAGCATCTAGCCTGAGCCTGGTAGAGAGCAAGTATACACAAAATATTTATAGAGTAACAGTCTGTCAAAAGTCAACCACTGGGGATACCATTGCAGAGGATGGGGACACTGAAAGATCAAACGGCAATGAGGAACTATTATCAATTCACCTGTTTCTGTTCTTCAATTAGTCTTTTTTCTATACACTCTTTGGCAATTCTCAATGCCTCTTTTAACTTTGTAGGAATCTGAAAGAAGAAAAAAATACATAATCAATCGAGTAAAGTGGCTGGAGAATCTCCTGAGTCCTGGAGTCAATGAAGGAACAGTTAGTTGTCAAGAAGGAAATCATCTGGAATAAAATCAGTTAAAGCTGCCCATCAAATCCTATCCCAGCCACTTCTGGTATCCCCAACATGCTCATTTCTCTAGAATATTTTAGCAATTAACACATAAAACTAAAACATAAGTAAACATGATATATGTTTCAACTAATTCAAGTAATCCTCAAGGATTCTGAATTGCCAAAACAATACTGAAAAAGAAAAACAAAGTTGGAGGCCTCATATTTGCTGATTTTTAAACTTATTACACAGCTATGGAAATCTCAACAGTGTGTTACTGACATAAAGACAGATACATAGACCAATGGAACACAACAGAGAGCCTAGAAAGACACCCTTGTGTATATATTCAAATGATCTTTGACAAGGTTGCAAGAACACACAATAGGGAATGTATAGTCTCTTCAATAAATGGTATTGGGAAAACTGGATATCCACATGCAAAGAAATGAAGCTGAACCTTTTATCTTACACCATATGCAAAAATTAACATAAAATGGATTCAAGACTTAACTATAAGACCCAAAGCTAAAACACTCCTAAAAGAAAACAAAGGGGAAAAGCTTCATGACATTTGATTTGGCGATTTGGGGGGTATGACACCAAAAGCACAGGCAATAAAAGAAAAAATAGATAAAATGGGCTTCATCAAAATTTAAAAGTTTTGTGCAACAAAGAACACTATTGACAGAGTGAAAAGGCAATCCAAGGAATGGGATAAAGTATTTGCAAATCATATATCTGATAGGGGGTTAATATCCAGAACATATGAAGAAATTCCTATAATTCAACAACAAGAAATATGTAACCCAATTAAACAATGGGGCCTGAATATACATTTTTTTCCAAAGAAAATATACAAATGGCCAAAAAGTATATGAAAATTTGTTCAGCATCTCTAATCATTAGAGAAATGCAAATCAAAACTACAATGAGATATCATCTCACGCCCCATAGGATGGCCACTATCAAAAAAATAAAATAACAAGTGTTGGTGACGATGTTGAGAAATTAGAACCCTTGCGCACTGCTGGTGGGAAAGTAAAATGGTACAGCTACTGTGGAAAACGGTATGAAGATTCTTCCAGAAACTAAAAATAGAAATTACCATATGATCTAGCAATTCCACTGTGGGTATATATCTGAAAGAACTGAAAGCAGGATGTCGAAGAGATATTTGTACACCCATGTTCATTGCAGCATTATTCACAATAGCAAAGAGATGGAAGCAGCCCAAATGTCCATCAACTGATGAATGGATAAAGAAAATATGGTATAGACATACAATGGAATATTATTCAGCCTTAAAAAATGGAAATTCTGTCACATGCTATAACACAGATTAACCTTGAGGACATTATGCTGAGTGAAATAAATCTGTCACAAAAGGACAAATACTGTATAATTCCATTTACACGAGGTACAGTAGTCAAAATTATGCAAACAAAAGGTAGAATTGTGGTTGCCAGGAGCTGGGGGGGAGGAGTAAATGGGGAGGAGTTGTTCTATGGGTATAGATTTCAGTTTGTAAGTTCTAGAGATCTGTTACACAGCAATGTGAAGACAGTTTAATACCACTGAATTGCACACTTAAAAATGGTTAAGATGGTAAATTTTATATTATGTATTTTTTATCACAATTATAAATTTTTTAACTATCAAGCTTACTAGAACACACACACACAAATTCAAGTAATTATAATATTTTATAACTTCAGAGGGATTTTCTTTGTGAAAGGTTTATGTTCTAAATTTCACCAGATTAAGCTTTCTCCTGTTGGGCGATACTCCTAACAACAGCCCAGTTTGTTTCTGAGCCTATCATTTCTTAATTTATTAGCTTTTCAAGCCACAAGGACTTCAGGCCTGGAAAACAGACATGCAGATCATATTGAATTTTTTGTCTTTATTATTCCTTTTTTTCTTTCTTGGTTTTATTTTTGTTTTTTATTTCATTGGTCTTTATTATTCTTTAATAAATTTTAAGGGCTGGCAGTTAACTTAGTTATTGTGTAGACTTGTAACACCAAGGTCAAGGGTTCAGTTCACCCTTGTTACTGGCCAACCACCAAAAAAACTTTTTTTAATAAATAAGTATTAATTTAAATGAGTTTTGAAGTTCCCCATACCAGCCAGCCACCAAAAAATTAAATAAATAAATAAATAAATAAATTTTAATTTTAATGAGTTTTGAGTAGGTAATACAGTCACATGGTTCTATCCAAAGAAGTATAAAAGGGCACATGTGCAGTAAAACGTCTCCCACCTAGTTTCCCTCCATGGGGGCAATCAATGTCACCAAATTTTAATTTTAATGAGTTTTGAGTAGGTAATACAGTCACATGGTTCTATCCAAAGAAGTATAAAACGGCACATGTGCAGTAAAACGTCTCCCACCTAGTTTCCCTCCATGGGGGCAATCAATGTCACCAGTTTCCTGTGGATCTTTCCAGAAAGTCATCACACATAAAAGAGCTTAACAACAGTTTTCGAAATCATACTGTCTCTGCTCTCAGGCTTAGGAGGAAAGCAAGATCTAATACTAATCCATGAATCCTGGGGGCTGAATTTCAGAGTTGGAGGAGAGCATATTTATTGACAAGGCTGCATCCATTTCCTAAGAAATTTCAGTGAAAAAGAGATAAATTTAAATGTTTTTTCTTTCCTACTTCAGATTCAATGAAAGTTTATTGTCTGAACTCCTCTAACGGGCAAAACAGGACAGAGAAAAGCATTTCTCTCACCTATACAATCTTCTAACCCTACCTTGGTTCTGTTTCTTTGTTTCAGTTTTCTAAATTTACTTTCACCATAATAGTATTACAAGTTCTTTTGGAATATAAAGAGGAGAGAGAGAATTACCTTCATTTTCCCACCCCAAATAGCACTAACAGTGAGCACTGATGTGAGCCAGGCCTGCATATTTAACAGATGAGCTCCATTGTCCAATCACAACAGACACGTATTACAACTTTACACACGAGTAAATGTAGGCTCTAAGACTGAGTAATTGTCCATACGTCAGTGCGTCTCAACTGGTGGCAATTTTGTCCCCACATCCCTGCTGGGGACACTTAGCAATGTCTGGAGACATTTTTGGCTGTCACAATAGGGGAGGATCGAGCATCGGGTATTACTGGCATCTAGTGGGTAGAGTCCAGGGATGCTGCTTCACCTCCCACAGTGCACAGACCAGACCCCCCAACAAAGAATTATCTGGCCCCAAATGTCAAATGCTGCCATTGAGAAACCCTGTTGTCGATGATGGCTAGTACTGTAAGAACAAAGTAAAGCATCAATCTGGTTTTTTCAGTTCCAAAGCCCACGCTTTTTCCATTACACTGCATAACACCACAGCTTCCCAGGAGACGTCCTTCCCATCTTTTTTCTAGACACAGATATGTTGTTTTACACACTGTATTTTATATCCTTTTTTTAAAACTTACTTCAAATAATAATTTTCTATATTACTACGATGTCTTTATAAATTTCACTTTTATTAGATAAAAATATTTTAACAGATGTACTATAAATTATTAAACTAGTCTCTAATCGTAGTGTATTTAGATTATTTCCAAGTTTTCCCTGTTATGTACCTTCTCTTTTTTGGATTAAAAAAAAAAAAACTAACTTTCAAAGTCATATTTATGTCACAAACCAAAAAATGATATAATTTGCTTTACCTTAAACTGTGGCTTTTCAGAAGTGGTTAATAAAACATCACTGAATAATCTGTAAAGAAAAGAAATGAACAAAAAAATATTTCTTGAACCAGGTATACTCTCAGAGTAGTATCAAAACAGATTGACACCTTTAGCCCATGAGGTCTCCCTTCCCCCCACCACATCCCCTAGCCCCAGCCCAATCCACCATTCCATGTTTATCAACAAACATAAAAGAGTTTAAAGGCTCCCCATTGTGACCTCAGGAAACCTCCCCACCTCCCCACTACCTCAGAGGTGTTACTAGAGGGACTGGGCCAGCTGGGTCTGGATACTGGATGTTGTTTCCCCACTGTGGGGCAATGAAGTATTTAAAAATTTATTTTTGCAAATACTAATTTGTAAAAGTATTGCAAATATATATGCAGTAGATATTTCTAAACAGAATAACTTGTTTTGCTTTTTTTTCTTGCCTCAGAAGATGATAAAATTTATTCTATAGCTCAGTAAAATAAAAATATTCAAGTGGAAAGGAACTGTCCTGATTGGAATCTAACAGAAAAATAATTTTCTTCTGAGTATTTCTCATGCTTCAGTTTAAAAAATAGCAGCTTTCGAAGTATATCAATTCTCTTTTCGAAAGTATGTTATTAAAAACAGTGGCATGAGGAATTCTGGATTGCTTTAGCTAAAACAGGTCAGACGATTTAAGTGGTTGCTTGGGTAGTACCCAAATGACTATAAGTGAGTCTTTCCTTGAATATTCCCCTTGTTTTAAGGACAGGAAACTCATCACAAGTAGAAACGACAGGGGTGAACTTTCCCCTACATAGCTCCCCAGAGTCCATTTACTTCCAGACAGTACATATTTGAATCCACTTTAGAACTGGAGGACTGGGGGGTGCAAATGCAAACTCAAGTCAGTCAACCTGTACACAGGCTGCTCCCTAACTACAAATGCAGTCTGTTCTCAAAGTTTGTGTGAAAATTGTTGTTTTCCAAACTAGACCTATTTTTCCCTATTCACATTGTTGCTAATAATTGTATGTTTGGAGACAGATGCTCCAGTGTCTGCCGAACATGAACACCAGAATGTCACATCCACCAGGCAGGGGCTCTGTTCATCACAGCCTTCACAAGGCCTAGAACAGTGCCTGGCCTATAGTAGGCCCTCTCGAAACACTTGTGGAAAGAATAAACAAGGAGCCTGAAGTTATCTCTACCTCCCCTGAACTCTGGCTGCATGCACTTCCAGCTGTGTCTCTATATTATTATTTGCTGAGCCTATGTGTTATGCTACAGGCTGGTACAGACAAGCACCAGGTATACTGCATGGCATGTCAAAAAAAAAAGGGCTGGCCAACTAGCTCATTAGTTAGAGTATGGTGTTGATAACACCAAGGTCCACAGTTCAATCCCCGCACTGGCCAGCCACCAAAAAAAAAAAAAAAACACTGCAAGGCATGTGGTGCTCAAAAAGCATAAGCTGAATCAATATTAATCATAAATAACACTTAATAAATGGTTATTAAGTGCCTGGCACTATATTAGGAATCATTTCATTAAACCCTCCCAACCATCTTCTGAGGTGGAGACTATTACTATCATCTTCATTTTATAGTTCAGGAAACTCCACTTCCAGAGGTTAGGAAACTTGTCCAAGGTCACCCAGGTATAAGTGGTGAAGCTAGGATCCACCCCCAGGTCTGTCTGACCACAGCCATACCCTTCTTAACCACTCTGCTGCCTCCCAGCAAAGGAACAGAAAATGTACCAAAGGAAATGCCCCAAAGTACTATTTCAACTGGCTTGATTAACTATTCGTAACCCTGTTTAAGAGAGAATGTCTTCTGAGCTCTGAGCTCCTGGCAAAGTGCCTGCTACATGCTAGATGTTTAATAAATAGCATCCAGTGAATAAATGAACAAACAAAAGCATGGGAGCTCAGAAATACATTTCCTCCTTCTGGAGGGCAGACCCTCCAAGGCCTTGTGACTTGTGAACTATCCTCAGCTGGGACCAACTGGTTTGCTGATACAGGGTCAGAAAGGAGAGCTGCTTTAGCAGGCGCTCCTTCGGTACTTCCCAAGCTGGGGGCTGCCACATGTACACACACACAATGTGGACATTGATGGAGGAGAAACGTACATAAAAACAACACTGATGTTAAAGGAGAGCAATTAGACTAAGAGAGCAGAGAGGTCACAAGGAAAAGGTCATGACATCATGCTGCGAGTGACTGCCTGCAAGCAGGTCGCTTCAAGTTTGCTGGTAATGTAATTGAGACTTTACTACAGTACCAGGTGCTTAGGCACAGTGGTCTGGTGTTCAACACAGTTATCATGATCACAACCAATGCATATGATTGACTTACGGCATCTGTAAGAGCCGGGAGACGGCAGGCATGCCATTTTTACAGGCTTCACAAGACAGCGTAGACTCCAACACGGCCACTTGAAATGAACAGATACACATTTTAGTTCCACAGAACACGCTGGCAAATCCACTTGGTGATGAAAAGTTTGACACTGCTTTGCACTAACTGTCTGCGGGCTGATCAGGACAGTGTCAAAACTCTTCACACACAGACAGATGGCATACGTGGGGAGGGGGAATGTTGGCAACACTGGTGTTACCGATGACTCAAAAGAAATGGCTCATCAAAAAAAAAAAAAAAAGAAAAAGAAATGGTTCAGAAACCACATGCTGACAGAAAGCTGAATATATTTCAAAGAAAATTGGAGGAAGAATTCAAGACATCATTCATAAAAGTGTTTACTCTTAAAAGAGAAGTAAACACTACACAGAGGTAAAATTCTGAACTTGAAAGACATTTTGCTGCTCGCCTGCTTTTAGTCACAACCAGCACACAAAATGCCAGTGGTTGATATCTCATCATCCAACACCTTGGATGCTATAAACAAGAGCAGCCAGACTTTCCTACCTACAGGTCACTGTTCAGTTTCCACTGTTCAAACTCAGCACAAAATACTCTCAGGGCCTGTGTTCTTGAACTGCCTCATTCGACACAGTAACACTTGTTGGAGGGTTGACTTGCATACCTCCAAGGCACAGTGGTCCAAGAGATACCCTTCCCTGCCCTCTCTCTGCTCTAGCTGTGAGTTCTGAGCTGGTTGTGGTGGGGATGAACAGGTCCCTGGATTAGTCTGCCTCAGTTTCTACATCCCTCCTTCCTAAGGGTGCCTCCACCTGTCCTCTGGCTATCCTCAGCCTCTCAGATATTGCTGGAAGAGCTCCTGGATCCAACTTGTCTGGGTGTCTGCATTCCTGTCTGCCTGCCCTAGGACTGGGCTTGCTAGGCTCTTCTCTACCAGGCTTCCAGCCCTTGCAAGTCCCACTCCAGCTGTGGTCTGATTCCTGACACCTGCCCGAGTCCTCAAGACTGTCTTCAAGTTGCCTGGGCCTGGCTTCTGCTTCTGCATCAGCCTCATACTGGCCATATTTCTCACTATGTATTCCTGCTTCCAAAATTGTGGTGCATTTTACAAAAAGTACCTGCAGGTTTTAGATAGCCTGACAAATGAACAAGCCATCTGAATTTTCACCAATATGTACTTAAGTAAATTACTCAAATCCGATGTACTTTTAAATTGGGTAAGAATATCTGCCTGTGGAGGGTGGCAACTTCCTCTGGGTCTTTCCTGGACTCTAGAAAAGGGGTGAGTAGTTCTGCAGACTACCAGGGCCTGGAAGACCCCTCCAAACCCCATACTGACCCACAGCCATGGATGGTGCAGGAGGGAAGGAGTCCACAGGCACCGAGTCTGGCGGTCGGCCATAAGTCATTTCATACAGTAAGTGGCCAAAGCAGTGGACATCCACACTTTCCAATGTCTGTGGAAGGAAGAGAGCAGTGGCATGTGAACTCCTTTCGGTTTGGCTTTGTGAACCTCAATGCTCCTGAGAACCCCAGCTCCCCCTGAGAAACAAGGCCCAGGGACAGTCCCACTCTAAAGCCTTTTGTAAATGCTCACAAAGCATTGCTCTGACCAAAGGTCTTGGTCCTACCTACGCTTCACGGTCTTCTAATCAGTGATTCCACTCCCTTCCTTGCCCCACCCACCATTTCTACTTGGTCTCCTGAAGATACTGCAATGCTCTATAGGAGAAACAGGGCCAATGGGTGAGGCCTGCTCAGTGCATACTTCCTGTGCTGGCGTATCATGGGTCCTGCCATGGGGATAATTTACACCTAAAAATGAACATGCTACTTCATTACTTTAACAACTTACATTGATTTTCCTAAATTGTGAGAAATAAGATCGGTAGAAGGAAGGCAGGCCCAATAAGGAATTCTCAAGATCTAGCAGCCGGCAAGTATCCCCATCCAGCATCACATTGGAGGCATGAAGATGCCCATAAGGGAAGCCCTTGTCATGTAGAAACTTTAGTACCTATTAAAAAATACATATAGGTTACATTTTCCCCCAACTCCTTCAGATATAAAGTAGGTTAAACTTTTTTTTAAGCCAATATATTTTGAAACAAAATCAAACAGGTCACTGGGGAGAGTCCTGAAGAAAAATGCCATCTCCATCCATTTCTTTAGAAAAGAGGGACACTGAGTGCTTTCCAGCTGTGAGACTGTGAGGCTCAACACTAAGTCTCTTTGCCAAAGAACAGACAAGCAGTTTGCATCTACGTGGAGTTAATAGCTTTGATGCCAAAAGTCTCTGCTTCAAGCACTTTCTGATCCCAACAGGCCAGCTCTCTTCAGGGCAGTCTTGATCTGCCCACATTGATGAGTAAAGCTATCTCATCAGTGCTTCCACTTGTAATTCAGGAAACAGGGTTGAGTTAAAAACATCTCTAGTCCAATCTCTCCTCAGAATATATTTGGCTGTTTATGAATAGAAACACACAACAGGCTCCCACAAAAAGAAGCAAACTTTTCAACTGACTTTTTATTTTTATTTTTTTGTCTTTTATCTTTTTCCATGTCCGGCAATGGATCGCAACCCTCAGTGTTGCCCCCGTACCGGACCGGGGACCGGCAACGGGATTGCAACCCTTGGTGCCGCTCCCGCGCCTCGCTCAGCCAGTGAGCGGGAACCGGTCTGTACGTGGGATCCGAACCCTCGGGCGGGAGTGCCACCGCGCTTCCCAAGCGGCGCACTTATCCAGTGCGCCACTGGGCCGGCCCTCAACTGACATTTAAATAAAGAGTGGCTCACCCAGTAATGGAGATGCCTGGAAACAGCCTTCCACAGACCTGGTGAACTAGAGCAGTGAAAGTCCAGGGGAGTGCCCAGGGCAATCCACTGAGGACTAGAAGAAAATAGTACAGCTTTTCTTTCTAGCTGTTTTTTTAAAAATTGTACTCTTTTTTAACTTGCAATATACAAAACATACTACTAGTAGTACATGTATATAATTCTGAGTTAAATATATATAAAACATTGGGAAGGCTATGCTGAAATTTTTTTTTTACTGATAGGGTTGCACAATCTCAGAAGCTTGAAGAATACTGATCTAGGGGGTGACATGGGAAAGGTTTTATACCACTGGTTACAATTCTGTAAGGGAGTCATACGGTTATGTATATAATGTAACAGAATTAAAAATCTTGGCACAGAGATAAAGATCAACCAAAGATAATACAAAAGGTGGTATCCATGCATGAAATTCTTAAAAATCAGACACTAAATTCCAATAGCTAAAGCTTTGGGAATTTTGTAGATCTAAATTACTGTCTCCTTAGTCTCAAATATTTGCTTGCTGTGGTAAGATATGACAATGCCATTAGTTTATAAGTAATCAGACAACTTAAGCAATTTTGGACATTGCCTAAGAATTTTTCCAAAAGAATAATGTAATTCTGCATGAAATTCCAATGCAACTTAAACAAAAATTAAATACATCTTACTTCTAATATTTGCCGACCATATGTTTTTATTTGCTGGAGTTCAAGGCCCTGAATCTTCTTAGGGTTGCAGTACTTCTTTAGAAATGGGTCTTTTGGTTTTGCCTTTGGAAAAGAACAAAAAACACATAAGAAAGAAGCAGAGAGGCCAACATCTGCACACAGGCTTCCTGAACAGGTAGGACTCTACAGAGGCTAGGGCGCCAGGGACAGCCACCCCACGGGATGTGGGTTTTTAAAAATACTACAGTCTATGGAGTTGATAGAAAGAGGCTCACCTGGGTTCCATCCCTTCTCTAGCTCAGTGAAGATGTGCCTGGTCTTGGCCTTAGCAGACCCCAAAGTCTTGCATACTGTTAGAATTCTTCAGTACTGCTTTGTTAAGTGCAAGATACAAACTTTAAAACTGACCTAAGAACAGCTTACAATGTAATGGTCATAATCATTAAATGTTCAATCTTCCCTCATGTGGGGAGAGAAATGCTCTTTAACCAAACTGGGTAGAGTCTTTATTGCTAAAATAAAAATAAATTCCAAATAAAATCAAAATTAAAATAAAATGCTCAGGGCCTAGCTTCTGGAACCATAAGGATCAAGTATCAATAACAGGTCCTAAAGGGACTTGAGAACTTCCTTGTAACCACGAACTTGTACCACAGTACCTTATAGATCAGATCCTTCAAAGTTCCTTTTTCATTAAACATCCTAATTAGCAATGCTGATGATTCATTAGCTGTGGCAAAGGTAACCCGATAGATGTAAGGGTGCTGCCAAAACAGAAAAGAAATTCACATTAATTTGCATTAGGATGTTTCTTTTAGATCCAGGATTTGGTTTTGCAGAGTCAAGTACCATCTTGGTAGTTTAGTTGCATACAAATGTGGCGATATTCCCTGAACACATGGCGTTTTCAAGTTATTAGATGATCAACTAGTTCTTCCTTCTTTGGATAGGGGAAGGGACATAAAATGTGGTGACAAAAGGAAGTGAATAGCTGATGTGGTAAGCTCTACATGTATCATTATCTCTACAGGTGTCTTTGGTGTGTGCTTTCTCACAGTTCAGGCAAAAGTATAGTGGAAGAGAGGAAAAGTTTGAGTTTTTTGAATAATGGTTTTAATATTCTGCCTCTGTAAATTGGTAAAGAATACAGCTAAATCTCAGAACAGTCAAGTGAGGACCAGGATAAATATGTCTTTGCTCACAGCTTTGCCGAACATTCCACACTGCTGTTTGGGTGCCAAGCCAGGGAGCATGACAGCCAGAAAACAAGCAAAAGCAGCATCCTTTGACATCTCAGCCCTTTCCAATGCAGCTGGCATGAATTTTCCTGCCCTTTTACAGATTGGGTGCCAAGCCAGGGAGCATGACAGCCAGAAAACAAGCAAAAGCAGGATCCTTTGACATCTCAGCCCTTTCCAATGCAGCTGGCATGAATTTTCCTGCCCTTTTACAGAAGTTTGCAATATGATGATTCACAGCGTCCTCCTTAGATGGGGACATTGACGTCAACCAAGTGGGGTGGGGAAAAGACCAATTATTCAATGACTCAAAGGGAAGTCCTCATATGACCTAGAACTTTGGTTACATGAACAAACTGGCTCGAGGCAGGTATGACAATGCCCCTACCTCAAAGAGCATCAGGAAAATTTAAACCCATGGGAACTGAGATGTGCAAGGATTTCGGGAGCTGGTGTGGCATGGGTTGGAAGGTAGAAAGGTGTGTCTAGGAAAGAATAGGAATTGATTGTGAAGTTTCTCCTGATCATCACATCAAAATGGTTGCTGATAATTTTTTAATAACTTTATTTGAGATATAATTCACATACCATTACAATTCACCCATTTAAAGTGTACAGTTCAATGGTTTTCAGTATATTCATAGTTATGCAACCATCACACAATCTAATTATAGAACATTTTCATCACACCAAAAAGAAATTCAATGAATAAAGTAAAAATCCTTGAGTCCACACTGATATAAATAAAGAGAGAAGGGAAGGTCTTCCTTACAGTAGAATGCCAACTAATGATGGAGTTCGAAAAATCACATTAAATGCTAAAACTAGTGGGTTTGATAAAGAACAGGATATTTATATAGTCTCAAAATATCTCTCTACACATTACCTATTAATTCTAGGTATTTATCTCAAGAAGATAATTAAATATGTATACAAATATTTAGCCAAAATTGTTTACTATGTTTTTTTTTCTTTTTCTTTTTAATAAAAGCAAAAAGCTGGAGGTGATCCAAATGTCTAGTAGATTAGTTAAGTAAACTAAGGTACAGCCAGTGATAATTCTATACAGCCAGTAATAACGATGCACTATATTTATTGACAACTAAAGATGTTCATGGTACACCATTAATGAAAAAAATCAGGTTTTAAGACATATGTATATAACTTTTCAAAAAGTCATATAAAAATTCTAGAAAAGTAACAACTGGACCTTTTGGTTCATACTTCTGGTTGGTTGAGATTATAGATGAGTTTTATTTTCTTATTTTTGCTTATCTGTGTCTTCTGACTTATCTACAATTAAAATGCACAACTTGTATACACTGTTTTTTACAAAGCACATCCATTAAAAGAAATTTAGAACTGGGTATCGACAGCCTGTGTCACACAACCAATCAAACTCAAAGACCACAGCATTTTCTTGGCTGCACACTGCACCTCATTAAAAGCTTGATTTTGGGGCCGGCCCCATGGCTCACTCAGGTGAGCGTGGTGCTGTTTGCGCCAAGCCCAGTGCGCGCGCTGGCTGAGCGTGGTGCGGACGACACCAAGCTGAAGGTTGCGATCCCCTTATCGGTCAAAAACAAAAAAAGCTTGATTTTGCCAGCTTGATGAGATGAACTTGCAAACCCAAGTGGACATGTCAGTGTAATTGTGCTCAGTCCACGAATGACTCATTTTCATGCACACGGCAGATAAAGAACATCAACACTAACTCAGCTTCCTGGCCAGGTAAGTCTTTGCTGAAGACCTCCTACACATATTTTGAAATATATCGATGTGGTTCTTTCCACTGAGGGCCTCTGATTAGAATTGTGCATTAGCATAAATAATGCCATGTATTCCTAAAGGCCAACCGAATAGCCTGTGAAAGTAGTAACTCAAGAGAGCAAAACGGCCATTTTGCCTTTCCTTCACCCAGCTTATCTAAATCCTTATTCTGTTTTCTCAGGCTAGAAAGAGATCTTTCAATTTCACTGATAAAAACACCCTCACCAAGAACAAGAGGCTTGGAGAAACGGCTGCTTTCCTTCTCTGATACTTGCTTAAAATCTAAATGCTACATTTAAACTACCACATGTTTCATGCGTTGTGCAGATGTCATGAATGCCATTTTAAGTGGCCTCTGATCTATGGAAGTAGCCCTGCACAATTTCAGTATGAACTGAAATCCACTGTACTTCTCTACTCTCTTGAGCCTATGAAGTATTTCCAGCTCTCCTCTCCATGTTCACCCATAAGAAGTCACTGTGAATCTGTGATAAGCACTGAAAATAACAGAAGGACTTGTACTCACCAAACAGGAAGGCAGAAGTTTGATTAGACACTGAAAATCTTTATCTGACAAGTACTTATCTGGGCCAAGGTCAGCCTGAAAACATGGGAGGAAATATCAAAAGAAAAATTCCTTGTAAGTCTTTTTCTACAATTTATGTGTCCAATACATGGCTGTAAAGCAAAAATGAAAACCACACTAAGTTTTCCTGCCTCAAGGCCCTTCTGGAGAGCCAGTGTGTAAACATACAAATACCAGGTAATCTTATCTAATTCCATTAACAAAATGTATCACTAGAACTCCTAAGGTGAAAGAGATAAAATTTTTAAAAGCCCAAGTATTTTCTTTAGAGGCAAACTCCAAAACTGTCAACCCTAAAGAGATTCCAGAGAACTATTTTAAACTGTTCCTATTTCTTTCCAAATGTTTATTAGTTGATCAAATATAATTACATCTACATAACAAATTCAAAGTGACTTAAAAATGACTCTCCTTTAACGTAGGACTGAGGAAGCCTTTACGTCGTCACATATGAGCACAGTATAACTTCATAATTCTCTTGTCAAATCTACTTTCATAAACCCATCTAAAGTCCCTGAAATGTGACTGAAGCAAAAAAACTAGCTTACCCAGCTTAACACTAGCCGCTCCTTTGGCTGATTTTTAATCTTCATCAAGAAATATTTCTTCCTTATCCTCCAACCTACCATAAAAGCAGAGACATGCTATAGCTAATAATTTTTGCAATAACTGATACAAGTTTCATTGACTAAGTAATTAATAAAAATTAAGTTTGGCAATATTATCCACAGCTACATAGGTACCAGTAAAACAACTACTGGATAATGTTGGCATGATAAAGGCTACAATAAAAAAAATTTCTTTTTAAAAACTGTAAACAAAGAAAGTACTCTATTCATGGAAATAGTAGGAAAAACAGCATTTAATTAGTTTAGGTTTAGTGAAAAAGACAGATGAAGAATAAATGGTGGTTCCGAAAGTTACTACCATCCAAATCCTCTGATGGGGCTTCAACCAAGATTCGTTAAGGGTTAAAAGTTAAGGACTGCACCCTCAAGCAGTAGGCAGGCAAAAAGAAAAAGAAGTCACCTGCATTTAAGTGCTTTCTTGGCATAGTATCAGAAAGCATACTAAGAATCCATTTCTGTGATCTATATTTTTAACAGAATGAGCATACCAGTTTCTTACCCATGTCTTTCAATGGTTCTACCACCTCCCACTTCGGTTCTGATCGAAAGAACATGGAAACCTGTTGTAAGGCAATCTCTGCAAAGACATTTTAGAAAGTCATTAGTCAAACATAGCAGGAAAAGGCTATATACTTAAGATATTATTCTTGCAAATGAAATCCTTATAGTCTATGACCTTCTTAAAAAACTAAATACAAAAAAAAACCAAACAAACCAAAAAAACCCACACAGACTAAATGCAAAGTGGGTTTCTAGATAGGATCCTGGAACAGAAAAAGGACATTAGTGGAAAAACTGATAAAGTCTGAATAAAGATTGTAGTTAATAGTAATGTACTAATATTAACTTCTCAGTTTTAATAAATGAGTTATGGTTATATAAGATGAAATTAGGGGAAACTAGGTGAAAGGATATGAAACTCTCTGCACTGTCATTGTAGCTTCTCTATAAATCTAAAATTATTCCAAAATTAAGAGTTTATTAAAGAAAACCGTAATTATTAATGATGCGATTTAAATTGGAAAATCTAAAATAAGTAAACTAGCTGGCCTAAAACAAGAATTCAGTATATGCACCAGACCACAACTCAAGCCCAAGATTTGAACATGTTCTAAGGCCAGCTTGCAACAGCATTTAATGTTGCTCCAAGTGATATTTATCCCATCTTCATTCCCCATGGAATTACAGCTTTCACCAACGAAGAAGTGATTAGCCTTAAATATGTATTGGAAACAAAAGGCAATGTTTTAGAAAAACATCTATGTACAGCAACAACTCAGTTCTATTGTGGGAAATCACTAAAGTGCCTGTTTACTGGGGAAAAAAAAAAATCCATCCTTCTTTTTGTATTCATTTATTATGAGAACATTTCCCCCTTTTAAGAAGACAATAACAAAAGGAAGTTGTATAAAGTTCACTATTTTAAGAAATTAACAGAATAACTGTGCTTTTACATTTCCTGTAAAAAGCAACATCAAATATTTGCCATTTCCCCTTAATGCAATGAGCAAATGAAGCTACTGCAGATGCCTGAAAGCAAACAGCAGTCCTCCAAACGTACTGTGAAATGCCAGCTCTGCCGAGCATTAATTACATTCTAGGCAGACTGGGAGGGCATGAGGGATTCCACAGAAATACTCCCCATATGTCAAAATGACCTCATTTAGAATTACCATGCCAAAATCTTGATCACTTTCATGTACTTTAAAGTACATTATGAGTTAAGAGATTTGAGAAACAGAACAATTTACTAGCTATTTGTTTACTGACTCAATATGTAAAGTATCAATGGTATTTACTCAGATGGAAACATGTGATGACCAAATACAAAACTGGCTCCGTTCACATCTGTTCTAACTACACCAATGTGCGACAAACCATACAGAGGGATTGGGTGTAACAGAAGCCAATAAATTTTTATAACCAACACTGGAAACTCTGTACCTCCTCTGTAATTAATGTTGATATCAAGTGTTTTTAGTATTTCCAAAATAGTTTGAAAATAAACAATCTTAAAATAACTTGAACATAAACTTAAAAGGAAATTATTTTAAGTGAAACTCTCTTATTTCAACTTTGAAAAGGATCAAGAAAAATAATTTCCTAATGTGGTACAATGTCATTTTAAGAGACTGTAAAGGACAGTGGTTCAAAAGTAACAGTGATCACAATTCCCCACAAAATCATTATTTGACAATATTTATTATATGCAACTATGTACCATACATTGTTTTAGGAATAGGAGAGTCTGCTTTGAACAAATGGAACATGCTAGATTTGTTACTGATAAACTGAGGTTTGGAAAACAGCTTCTTTTTTTTTTACCTCAAGCATCAGGAAATTGGACAAAGGACTTTTTTTTCCATTGAACTGTGATTTATTGTCAAATAAAATGCAAGACTACCTAGCTCCCCTCTCTAACCAGATTCAAGTGGCACATTTCAATGCTAAACATCCACTCCTCTGTTTAGAAGCCTTTACTGGCTCCCCACTTCCTTACCAAATCAAGACCAAGCTTCTATACTTAGTGTTCAACCTGCCTCTGGCTTTATCTCCAACAATGTGTACTGCCTCACACCATTCACTGTTGGGGTTCAGAAAATGGTATCCCAAAACATGGCACTTCAGCATGCTCAGGACTTTGAGCGAAAGGAGATCAGAAGGCCTCAGAAGCAAGTTCTCTCTGATCTTCTCCTGCCCTTCTGTCTCTCACCCCTCATTCTCCTCCTGAGCAAGTCACAGAAACTAGAATTCCTCTTCCTCAAGGCAGGTCATAGAAACTAAAACCTTTCTCCCCCAAAGCCAGCCATAAAAACTAGAAATATTATTCTAACCTTCCCCTACCTTTCTTTGTAGGAGCTGACTACAAAGAAATTCTCTGACCTACCTTGTCTGACAGTAGGTCAGAAGACCCTCATTCCAGAAGGGTCCTGCCCCACATGTGGGAGGAAGGAATACTACACAGAGGCCAAGAAGAATCTGAACAGACAGGCCTTGCTGGATTATTCCCTCTTGTCTATTATTATTAGATCATATCCTTTTGACCAATCATATTTCTACAAGGCTGTCCATTCTTCATCCAACCTAAGCATAAAAACAGAGTTTTCGCCGGCCCAGTGCCGCACTGGATAGTGCGCCGCTTGGGAAGCGCGGCGGCGCTCCCGCCCGAGGGTTCGGATTCTTTTTTAAAATTTTTTTATTTTATGTTTTCCTCTTGTCTTTTGTTATGAGTGTCAGCCATGACCCTTATGATGGGTAAGAAAAAGTATTACAACTTTCTGTCCCTAAACTACACTCTGAGACTTCCCTACCATGGCTCCTAAAGACTGGCCTTCCCCTACTTCCTCAGCATTTTCCATCTGGCCCATCTATCCTTTCCAGTGTCAGCCTAAATTTGCTGCTCTCCTAGCCAGGACTCCCTCCCTCCCTCTTTCCTCTGTATATTCCCAGTGCTGTATCTGTCCTTCTCATGGAATTACTCACGGTCCATCCTGTATTAGGGTTCCTCTCTTCCACTAGACTGTAAACACTGGCTGGGAGGATACATCTTCATCTGCGTAAAGCGCAGAACCATATGGAAATACTTCTCTCTCTCCTCTTGCTGCTCTTCCTGGAGCACTGGCCCCTGCCTCTGGGCTTGGCTAACTTCTGCTGACCCCTCAGATCTGTGTAGGTGTCACCTCTCCTGGGGAGCCTTCCTCCATCTTCAGGTCTGGTTCATCTGCACCCCCACCCCCACTCCCAAGGTGCTGCCCCCTGATTATCCTGCTATAGCCTTCACCTGTCAATCTCTCTGCATAAGCACCTTGGGGTAGGGGGGACTATTCCTTCCTTGTTGCTGTATACATAGCACCTGGCACATAGTAGTTACTCCATAAATATTTAATGAAGCAAGAACTAAGGGCTCAATACATGTTCAATGGATGTGGAACATCTCTCCATTAGAACTTGAAATCTGTGAAAAAAAGAGCATCTGCCCTCTATTTCTCTGAACTTGAAATCCATGAAAAAGAGAGCATCTGCCCTCTATTTCTCTAACACTGACTGACACATGCAGAAAAACTGCATGTGTCAGTAAGTGCTGATAAACAAGCCTGAAACAGGAAATGTAGAGTGAAGCCTTCAAGGTTTTCCCTTGGTCTTTGGACCTTCATTTCTGAAGGCTTTCATGCCATGTAAAACTTTGATAAAATCAATTTGTTATGCTTTTTTTCTTCTTTTTTATTTTTTATTTATTTATTTATTTATTTATTTTTTGTCTTTTTGTCATGTGTCAGTAAGTGCTGATAAACAAGCCTGAAACAGGAAATGTAGAGTGAAGCCTTCAAGATTTTTTATTTTTTTATTTATTTATTTTTTGTCTTTTTCCGTGTCCGGCAACGGATCGCAACCCTCAGT